ATAGGTAAGGTATTTCGTCTTTTTATTGTTGGTTCTAGAAGGGTAATTTTCTGTTATTTGATTAGCTATTCGTCTTATTCCCCTTTGGGATCTGTGATAGGTAAGGTATTTCGTCTTTTTATTGTTGGTTCTAGAAGGGTAATTTTCTGTTATTTGATTAGCTATTCGTCTTATTCCCCTTTGGGATCTGTGATAGGTAACATTGGTGACTTTACTGTTTTTATCCACTGTGTTTATGTGTTGTTAAATATGCTATATTTGTAAATTAATGTTAGTCAAAATATTGATCTGGGAAAATGCATTTTGCTAGATTATGTTTCTCAAGTATTTTGTCTGATTAATGTGTATTAATTAACAGATTGATCTTCTCTTTCTTGATCTTTGGGTCAAACACTTCGTCTGCTTATGGTTTATATCATCTGTTTGCTGTTTCTGGATTTTGTTTAGAGAAGATTGAGCTTTCTTATTTTAATTATGCCATTTTAAGTGCTAGATACCCCTTTTAGAGGATTATATCCTGTTTAGAACATGGGATTTCTAATGCTTAGCTATTTTTATCCTTAATGCAGCTTTTTTCATAGTCAATATATATTGCTAGATTTATCATGCTATATTTAAGAGATCATTTTTTGCCATGGATATTGTGCTACTTTGTTTAGTACCTTCAGTCAGTTTTCAATTTTGAGATCTTAAAATGTTAAGTTGCTCTTTTTCTGTGTATCAATTCGTCTGTACGTTGTCATCCCAGATGAAAGGCACAGCTAGTTGATTATCTTCGTCTTTATCCTTCTTGGAGTCAACATATTGGATCACCCTACGATTGTGTGGTTCTGCATATGCCTGCACTTATAAGATTTGATGATCCATTTTCTTGAATTCATGTTATCATGACATTTTGCTTGGTATTCTGTTTTCTTTTTCTTACCCCCTTTTGGTTTCAATTCCTTTGTTTAATCTCAGAGCACAGAAAGTATGTTATATTCTTTATGTAGGATCTGTCACCTTGTTGTTTCTTTTTGAAGTGGGATTATTTATTTATTATTATTTTTTTTAATGTGGATTATAAGTTCAAATTGTTAATGTAATTTTGGATATATGCTACAATAAAAAAAAAATGTTCACAATCTTTTGATTACATCATTCATTTTCATATGACTATGTTTTTCCTGTGATAAACACGAAAAGGTTGTAATCTGGTATTTTATATTAATTTTAGTAGCCTGACCTTGTTGGGAGCCTACATCGATATACTTATTCTGCCCGCTTTATCAGATAAACGATGGAAGTTCAAATCTTTTTTGTCTATAAACAGAAAAAAGTAGAGCGTACCATTACCTCAACAATGTAAGAATCATTGGTAATGCTATTTATCTTGAACAAAATACCACGATAATCAGTCTTCTTTGACTATGAATATTTGTCAAATGGTTGGCATTAAGCAATTATATTTGCCTATCTCATTACACTGTTATTGCATTTATCCATCATCTATATCATAAAATAAGCTGTCTCTCATGTCTTGGTTTGAATTCAGTATCTTATTTACATAAGTTATTCCTGCTCCTACTAATTGTGCTTTTTCACTGTATTTGTAGTACTATATGAGAACGGGAATGTGTAAATTTGGTGCTTCCTGCAAGTATCACCATCCAAAACAGGGAATTGGATTTTCAGGCTCAGTGACCCTGAATTATGATGGATATCCATTGCGACCGGTCTGCTGCTTTGACAATTTTCGTTTTCCGTTCTTTCTTTTCCATCATTGCAGTTTCAATTAGATTTGAAATATGTAGTTGTCATATAGAGTAATTGTTGCAGGGTGAAAAAGAATGTTCGTATTATGTTAAAACAGGAGAATGCAAGTTTGGGGCCACCTGTAAATATCATCATCCTCTGCCAGCTGGAATGCAAGTGCCTGCACCAGCACCTGGCCCGGGACCTGTGCCTGCACCTGCACCCACAATGTATACACCAATGCAATCGCTACCCATACAAACTCCCCAGCAATATGGAGTATTTTCTGGCAACTGGCCAGTTGCAAGGCCAGCTATGCTTCCGGGTTCATATGTCCAGGGAACTTATAGTCCCATGCTCCTTCCTCCAGGGGTCGTTCCCGTTCCTGGTTGGACTCCTTATCAGGTACGTGGCTGAAGCTATTTGTTTGATCTCATAATCTTTTATGACATGTTTGGTAGGTTGGACTAGGTAGTATTGGATAGTAGTAAATAGAAAAAGGTAAAATCTTGTCAATTGTCCATTGTAGTACTGCATGCCAAGCATGCTTTGGATGTCCTATTTTGTGTTGAGTTATAAATTTACATGGTATAGGCACCTGCTAGTCCTGCGGCTTCCCCAAGTACTCAACCTATAACGCAGTTTTCTCCTTCAGCGGTTGCATACATAGGACCATATCCATCCATAACGTCTTCTGCTGGCCCTTCAGGCAGCAATCAGAAGGAGCAAGCATTTCCAGAAAGACCCGGCCAACCAGAATGCCAATATTATTTGAAGACTGGGGATTGTAAATTTGGTTCTACATGTAAGTATCATCATCCACCAGAGTGGAGTGCACCGAAGACAAATTTTGGGCTTAGTCCTATTGGTCTGCCCTTGCGCCCGGTAAGCTTGTGGTTTTCTGTTTTTTGGATTATATATCATACACTGTTTAGGACGATTTTATTTTTGAATCATGCTATGGGTACAGCATTTTTCACAGCAAGGTTCACAGCACACACACATGCAAGGGGTGGGGTCCACGATTAAAATAATCACGGAACCCACATTTGTGAGGAAGTTGTGAAAAAAGCTGGGAGGGAAATGCTGTACAATCAGAAATTTCCTTTATTTTTTATGTCCTCAAGGAGTCTTTTTTTTTTTTTTTTATTTTAAATGTTGTGTATGTTCACTGTTAAAGAGTTCTCATATATGTGCATCTTTCAGGTTGAATTGTTGATCTAGTTGTAATTTCTGCTCCTGGAAAAGGATATTTAGGAGAAATTTGAATGCATAATGTAATTTTTCCAGATGGAATGATATTGAAAATTTGGCTGTGCTGCCAATTTCTGTTCTTCTCCAACTAAATTTTAAAAAAAATATTATGACTGGGTGCATTTTCTTATATCTTGATTTCCCTTGGGGTGTCTGGTTGCATCAAAACTGGGTATCACATCTGTTTGTCCCCTAAAAAATGAAACACCCAAGTCCTTGAATTTCTGCATTTGAGATTTCTCTTTTGTAGGATACACTTTTTTAAAATTCAAAGTACTCAACTGATTTCATGCCAGATACTTCAGTAGCCAGTTGACTTAAGTCTGTATATATTGCCAGGATGCTTGATATGATATCAAACCCTTAATGGCAACAATTAACTTCGGGACTTGAGTTATAGAATCACTGGTTTTAATTGGAGATCGTGGGCTTAAGAACCTGTAAGTTCCACTTATCGGAAAAAAGAAAAGGTAATTTGAAAGTTCCACTAGCATATGGTTAGAATTAAAATAATCAGACCTGATTTTCATAATACTGATCGAAGTGATTTCAATCATAATATTGAGTAATATTTAAAGCTAATAGGAGCAAATGGATGAATTCATGGGGGCCAATTTCATCATCTGATGAAATTGTTAGGAAGACACAAGATGTGATGAATAGCAAATGCATTAAAGATTCAAGATTATTTATGTGCAATGATAATCTGATCCTGCCTTGATAACGCTTGAGTGTGAATGAAGAATAATTGCCTAATTTTTTAGGTAACGAGTTTTGCCCAAATGAAGCAAAAAATAGAAATATCTTGGTCCTTATGAAACAAATAACTTCTCCCCAGTTCTCCGAAAAGTCTATTAGTTTTAACCTTTCTGCTTCTAGATTGCCATGACCTTGAATTATGTTTGAACAAAAGCTGATCTTTCTTGGAAAGGTTGGTTTCAAGTCAGTGTAAGAGTATCTTCCAAGTGTGTGAGGAAAGATTTGTTGAGTTGGCTAAAATCAGTGCTTATTTTCCACTGGGATATAGAGTGGTTCAATGCTGTATAGTATGTATCAAAGTATCATTTTTTGTGTAGCTGGTCCTTTATTTTTGATAAGCAAACATTTTCCTGGGGCTGTATCTCATTCATTCTGTTTGCAGGCCAACAAAACTGGACCTTCTATCTATATTTAAAATGTACAGGTGAACGAATGGCTGTCATTAAGTTGGGCCAATTTCTTTTACCGTGCTTATATTTCTTTATTTTAGTCGATGTGATCTGCACAAGTAGATTGCAACTTTCTGAGTTTATATTTTACATAAAATTTTACTCAATGACTAACTTTCTCCCTGTATTGTTGATGCGTGCATTGAAAGTTTCCTGGTTTTCAAAATACAATTTCCTTGGAGCTATACGTATTTGCTCCCTACACGTGCCTCACTTTGGACTTAGAAACCTTAAAAATAACTCATTCACTCTTCCGTGTTCATCCTTTTTTACACTTAATTTTCTATTATCTCATTTCTTTTTGCTGTGTTCTAGGATGTTTGCATATATCTGAGAACTCTGTGACATCTTTTTTGAAGTCTCTTCAATTTTTTTTTCAGGGTGCACCACTTTGCTCTCATTATGCACGAACTGGAGTGTGCAAATTTGGGCCATCATGCAAATTTGATCACCCAATGAGAACATTGAGTTACAGTCCATCTGCATCCTCTCTTACTGATATGCCTGTTGCTCCTTATCCTGTGGGATCCACACATGCAACTTTGGCTCCATCATCCTCGTCATCAGACTTGAGGCCCGAGCTTATTTCTGGATTTGGCAGAGACACCTTCTCAACCCAAATGTCTTCTATGAACAATTCAAGTGCTTCAGTTGGTTCAATATTTTCACCAAGCGGGCACATTCCTCAATCCAGTGGTCAGCAGCCAGGACAGGGTTCTACCTTTTCAAGTGCCAGCAGTAGCATAGGCTGAGGAGGTGAGATTCACACATCGAGCTGAATAGAAGGGTTCAGCCATTTCGTTCTCTCTGTTAATCAACCTTCATGAACTCAACGTTAATTTTTGGTCCAAATTCTCTATAGGATGCTCGGTCTTAGTTCAATGTAGCATATTTAGCTGTGTCAATTGAATAAGCCACAGATACCCCTCAAAATCTGGCAACAGCTCATTAGCTTTTTCAGCAGTCTTTGAATAACATGAAACAAAACCAACTTCCCATTTAGATAATTTTCATCATTGCCCAAATTTTTGGAGCTTGTCATGTCTATTTAATGCCTTTTTTCAGAATGAAAAAGATATAATCCTCACTGTTCTCTGCCACTGGTTTTCTCGATTACCTATATTCTCCTTCCCTCTTTCGGAACAAACTTCCATATTGTCTAGGGAATGAATTTTAAGGTCTTTCTTGATCCCTTGATTTGTCTTGTCCTTTTGTTGCGGAAGCAATGATAAATTTGGAGACTGCAGGGAATTTGATACCACCTTATGTGTAAGATATATAGTTATCTAGTCAGACGAATTGTGTGAACGCTTCTCTGTATTTTACCAACCAATACAGACGAGAAAATGTTGAGTTTGGTGATTATTGCTCTTTGTTGTGTTTGTTTTTGTTAAAGATCTGTTGGTCGTCATCTAAAGAATGCTCGATTGCCTTCTTTGTGACGAGAAAATCTTGAATTTGTTTGTTGCACTGCATTCTTTAGGCTTGAAGTGGAAAAGTGGTGTATGGATAGATGTACGATGGTTTTCTTTCTCCTTTCTCATGTTAGTCACCATGCTAGGTTAGAGCAGTTGCAGTTCGTTCACTGGATTTGTAGCTTTCTTAGCTGTTAAAAGATGAGTCGAAGCATGCTTCGATATTAGGCAAATAATTGTTAGTTTTATCAATTTAGGCTAGTTGAAGATACCCTTTATTGATCGCAAATACAACAAGATAATGTCATGGCAAAGCTATTGTAGTGTTCGACTCTAGCAGGAGTACGAGAAATAAGTACGTAAACTTTGACGTAGACAAAATGAGTCGATTAAAGTTGAGCACACATCATGCTCAAATTTTAGACGAGTAATGAGAAAAGCCCTAGTTTGGCACATTAACGAGTTGAATTTGACTAGAGTTCCATAACTTGTTTTCTATTTTAATTGGTTTCATTCTCTCAAGTTGATCGTGGAAAATGAGTTGAGGCAAGAAGTAACATCCCAACGAGTCGGGATGATAAACTTACGCATGAGCTCTCTAGCGTTGCCATTCTTTCTGTTGCGCAGTACGAAATACAAGTTTATGAATAACATGATAAATAATAGCATGCATCTGATATCTATTCGTGGAAGTGCCATCACTCTAAGGAGAGGCGTAAGCCCTGTGCTTCACTCGATAGAAACTTGGCCGCTCATCGAGCTCTCACTTGATAGAAGAGTGGAGAAAAGCTGAGCCCTTTTGTGCAGGGCGCATTGGATTCAAGCAGCAGTCTAAATATCAGTAGTTTAGCTGATGAAACTTGGTCTGCGCTCACTTTTGGAAAAGCCAAAATCTAACCTCCTCTCTCGTACTCTTTTGAAGCCCAAGTTTAGTTACAATTTTCGTAAAACGAGAAGAAAAATACTAGAGATAGAGAAAGAACCAGGGATGTGCTGCAAATTATATACTCAAGGAGATACAGATACTTGCATGGTGTACATTATACTGAAAAGTGAAAACAAGAAAATAAGTTTAAATCTTTTTCGTTGTAATGTATACCAATTACATGCTCGTATTACTTACTAACTTCAAAAGTTGAAACCAGCATTCAAAAGAGAGAGTACCCCAAGTCATCAACATCATTGAAACAAGGATATGAAGATGAACTTGCTGCTGCTGAAGTACTACTGCAGGCTGGAGACGCCATCACCTCAAAACTTGAATTTTTACTCACAATTGGATTCAATTCTTCCATGCATCCATCTTCCACCACTAAAGGGTTGTTCATCACGTGGGAGAGTTCACAAGAACTTAATTCCCATGACTGTTGATCACGATCTGGCCAGAATCCAACCACAGATTCGTCTTAGCTTGAAAGCTTTCCAGGGTTTTCGGGATTCCATCTGACAATTGCAACACTTGTAGAATCAAGGAAAAGTGATTATTTTCAGAAAATATGTCCACGATTTAAATTTGAGCTGAATTTCTGATCATTTGAAGTGTCCCCATTGATTTTATCAGTTGCAGAATATGGCTTCAGGCAGTTGATAGGAAAAATGCAATCCAAGCAGCCAGAATTTTTCAGTAGTATCATTAGGTAATGAACCATAAGAAGATTGACCATGATAACATTTGTCATTATCCGATTGGACAGATAATTTCTGAACTTTCTTGGCATAGTGTCAGGACTACAAGAACTGGACTGTTTAGTTTCTGTGGCGGTAGGAAACTGTGTCTCTGATGGTGGCTGCAAAAAGGCTTGAATTTGAAAATCATAATTAGGGTTTAAAAAAGAATGAAAAGTTGTTGTACTATCAGAGTATATGAAATTAGTGTCCGTTTGATATCATTAAATTCCATGAAAAAATGTCACATCCAAGGGCTTTGTTTTCTACTTTTGGCTATTTGATACGAAAGTGAAAATGGAGTTCTTGCTTGGGTGCCCTTCATGGAAAGGGCAGACCTATCATACGCAACTGCAGCTTATTGAGCAGTATCAAAGGTTCCCAAATTGCAGCCAACGTCTTTCCTTGGTTATAGGGTTTCTTATTTCGGCAACATATCGGCCCCATGGCCGTCGTCTTACTCCAAGAAACTTCCAGGGTTCTGCCCGGCGCTGATGTGTTGCGTTGTAAAAATGTGATACCGGTATTCGTAAAAAGAATTAAGGGTCTTTGTTTTAGGGTTTGCCATTGATGCAAGAAATGAAGAAAATTGTTATGGGAAGAAAGAGGAAATCCGAGAATCTTGAAGCAAATGAGAAAGTGAAAAATCTGAGTTTGAATGAAGTGTATGGAACTTGTGAGCAAAAGGAATCTGAAATATCTCACTTCCATAACTTTAAGTAAAAGAATACTGTCTTAGAAGTGAACCATTCCATTACTGTAAGTTGCTTATTTCTGAATTTCACTAATAAAAAATTACTTATTTGAAAATTTACTTTTCACTTAAAGGTAAGGATTTAAGCTTAGCCAAAAATGCTCATAAAGAAATTATTATGTTTGGCTTATGTTTATAAACAAGAATAAAACTTCTTGTACATTGTTTGCTTGACATGGAGTTTGATACTCCATTGTTTTCAAAAGTTTTCAGAAATAGAGTTGACGGGAAAGTATGTTTTTTTTTCAAAAACTGTCCAATATGATATCGCCACGTCGCACAATATAAAAATTTTATATTAACGTCAAACTCAATGTACTTGCAACATAATTCTTATAATTTAAATCATTTATAAACACTTTCAAAATATACTCGATTGTTGTTCATAAATATAGATTGCCTATATAATTTTTTTCTCCAATACTTTTAACAATATATCTTTTGTTGGAGTTTAAAGAATTTGATTTTTTCCACTTCTATTATTTTATTATGACTTAATTCTAATTACTCGCTTTATCTTTATAAAATAAAATATAAAAAAATCTATTTCCCCTTTGGTGTATATATCATTTTGTCATGGGCAAGGAGCCAAGAATGAAAACGAAAACTCCCTCTAGCGAGGTAGTAAGTTAAATTGTACGTCTAATTCAATATATCAATCTAGTTTAATTGCATTCATCATTAATTTAAAAATCATTATTATATGCTAAAAATCCATAGCCAAATCCATTCAAACCTACCTGATATGGACATAATTTCATGTCAACTCCTAGATCTATTAGATAATTTCACATGCTTATAATTTCTGATTCTAGAGAAACCCTTTTGAGGAATGTTGGAATTAAAGTCAAAGAAGAAATTTCTCAAGTAACAGGGACAATAAAATAAAATAATATTTTTGTCTGTGTTTTTCTTGAAAATCTTAAGAATTTGAAATATGTAATTTCTTTTTTGTGATTGTGTATGATGTCACAAAGTTAATCTTTTAAAAATCTGTCTTATTCATGATTTTCAAATGGAGCACTTAAATATTATCTCTAATGAAAATGATTTATTAACCCCTATATAATGTGAAAACATCATCAATTTTAGGTTTCCAAGAAAAAAGTTATACTTCAGAAGGGTCCCTAAGCCCAAGTTTTAGTAACATTAAAAGTATGTCATTATTATTTGTGGAAATTACATTGATTAGAATTCTAAAATGAGGTTTAAGGTTTAATTATTCATTAATCAGGTGGTAATTTAATTATTAATAATAAATTAAAATTAAATTAATCCCCACCCACTTCCCAATCAGCTCTTAACCCAATTTCTTCCCGGAACATTTCTCTCTCTCTCTCTACCCACTCAACTCTCCACTCACTATATTTCGACACCGCTGCTGCCAGCGGAGCAAATGCCTTGAAATTGGAAGGTATGCAACAGCAACGCTTCAACTCTCCCCTCGCTACGAGGTGCTCAATTCGTTGTTGTGCGAGTTGTGAAGAACATACTGCGCACACCGTGATTTAGACTGGGTACTTCGATTTGAACTGACGACCTGAACTGCTGGGGGAGGCTTAACTGTTGTAGGCTTGCCTTCGACAGTAGGAAGGACCAGGTTGTTTGGGGAAGGTATAACTACTACAAATCCAAAAACTGATGGAGCAACAGAAATTGAGGAATTTACAGTAGGAGAGATGCCATTTCTTTCTCGCACTGGCTTGAGAACTTGAAGCTTATACACGCTATGGTGGAGTTGGAGGTGACGTTGGTGGTGGTTGTTGTGGTGGTAGAGATGCATATGGTGGTTATGGTGCTAAGTTTGGGTTAGGTTGGACTTATATAAACTTGGTTGTGATCAATAAAAATTGGGTTAATTTCTGACAAATACATAATAATTGACCAATAAAATAGATAATTTGTGATATTGATACAGTGGCATGTGATCTGTTTACAATAACCTATGACATGTGAATTGATAATATGTCACATGTCTTTGTGCACTTGTTACAAGTCACAGATCAAATTGAATTGATTACAGATCACCAATTTATATTTACTGGTTACCATTCACATGTCACAAGTCATATTGTACATGTCACGGATGTTCATAAGTTATGGGTTGTAGCTCAAAAGTCAATATTAATTACTCATAGGTTATATTTCATAGATCACATGTCATATTGTATAAGTCATAGATGTTCATTGGTCTATCACAAATTATAGTTCACAGGTCATAGATTATTGTTCACAGGTCACAAATCATTTTGTATAGGTCACAAATGTTCATAAGTCAATATTAATTGGTCATGAGTTACAGTTCATAGGTCACAGTTCATCGTTATTGGTCACATGTCATATTGTATAAGTCACAAATGTTAACAGGTCATATATTATAATTTACATGTCAGTATTAATTACTCACATGTTAATAGTTCATAGTTCTTATGTCACCATTCATAGGTAACAGATCAATTTCCACAGGTCATGGATCTAAGAGCACTTGTTACATGCCATTGAAATAATCACAGGTACAAATCAATGTCCACAAATCATGGATTCAATAGAACTTATCACAA